AAAAGCTGCTTCAGTTTTGCGGTAATCCTTTTACGGTAATATATGGGTATATTTCTCGTCAAAATAGAAGACAACTATCTTGATGAGAAATATACCCATACATTACCGCGAAAGCAAAAAAGCAATAAAAAGTTTGGTTCACTATTAACGATCGCGATAGAGATAATATTTCATCATTCTAGTGGAAAAATTTCTATATCATACAAAAACATTTAAATTCCGATTAGCGAAAATATAATTGTATAATTGATATGTATTGCTACATGTAATATCTGTAAGAACGTTTTAACAAGTATTTTAAGATTTGGTGTCCCATATCTAATTAAATTTTCCCAATTTATTTATAACTTTTAAATATAATTCATATCTTAAGTACAACTATTAATTTACATCGTTATTCAAATGTTTAATCGACAATCAATAATTTATTACAATTTAGTAGACAAATTATGATTCATTGAATTCTAATTTATGCGACGAATATTATTTGAATCGGCAACTGCGTACAAGTTTTAAATAAATTCGAAAGTAACTTCCTTCCACGTTAGATATTAAAATTGCTATTAATATTAAATTTCACTCACAATAAAAACAAATTATGTTCATTGAATGAACAAAGCCAACGAAATAATTGTATGAGGCAACCTTAAGCCAAGTAATAATATTTGCATATGAATACGTCTCGGTCCTTAACTACGTACATACATACTTCAATACTCGTTCATTCTAATAGAAGAATGAGTTTTCATAACTTCTGGTTAGTGGTTCAAGTAGGCAATATTATTTATCTACGCGCAGTTCAACCACTGTTCGCATCTATGTAACAAATTAAGTTTCAAGTATGTAGAATCAAACAAAAACAAAATCACATTTATTAAATGAAAAACAATAAATTTTTGTAGCAACTGGTACAGTTGTGTGCGTCGCATCGAAGTTTGTGAGCAATGATTTCAAATAGATGGAAAGACATACATACCTCTTTCGACTTTGCAGAACGGAATGACCATTCATGTTTGCAAATTAACTGGGGAATAGCCTTATTCGATTGGCAAGCTGACAAAATGATATGCTCATTCGAAACGGTGCACTCAGTGGTTGCTTTTATTTTTATATGTAAAGTACAGTGATAACTTACAAAAGCAAGTGATACTCAAATTTTTTCACTTCCTGATTTTTCAAATTATTACAAACATTTGAATAAAAAAAATTTTATATGCAAAAATAAAAGTAATCTTCTTTATTTCATTTGAAATATTACAAGCTATGAGGTTGAATAGTTTTATTATTAAATTTTTTTTTTGTTTAACTATAAACACAAAATATGACCGTTGGATTCCATAATTCTGAGGGCTATTAACTTTTATCTTAATTAACTGAACTTTAAGAAAAAAATAGGGAGTAAGTAGGATATTTGAACGGTTAACAATGTATACTTATGTCTTATGTTGGATGGCAGCTTTTTATCAATCTATAGTTTTATCAAGTCTATATATCGTTTTTATTTGTATTTTTAATTTTTTACTCGCTTTAAAAGTGTTTTATTAATGATATTTTGTAATGCTGTCATTTAGAATTCCTTCCTTTGTGATAGAATATTTCAAAGAATATATTGGAATACACTAATATAGAATATTCCTACAACAACAAAACGATTTAAAAAAAAATGTTTAATACTTTATTATCGATAAGGTAAAAACCTTAATCATGTAAAAACTAAAATAATAATTTATAAATGAAATTAAGTTTACATTAAAACTCGTTTAAAAAAATATATTATACTTGTCTATAACTGAATATAGGGACAAATTTCTGGTTTCTGAAGATACGATCTTCAAACTATTGGAAATGAAAAGACAAACACATACATAAGTAGACTTATTAATCAAAATTACGCAAAAACAAGACATAGGACATAAAACATAATATCTAAATTAAAATGTTTATCGAATGAAAATATTTTATTTGCATTTAATAAACTGCAGAACTACATTTGTATACAAAAACAACAAACTGCAGAACTACATTTGTATACAAAAACACTGGTTACCTTTGAATTTTCCAATGCTAGAAAGATCAAGAAAGATTAACTGAAAGTCTGAAAGTCCAGAAAAATTCTATTGATAGTCGTCAATTAATAAGTAAGTTCCATTCTCTATGCTGACGTGATAGATGGACTGACTGGTATTTACTTAAAAATATGGTAATCATAATTTTCACAGCACTACGCCATAGCCTAACAAATATCCATATGGTGCATACGGTTTTTAATTTAAATTTTAATTGCGCCGTACACCTAATTAAAATGCATAAATTTAAATCCTTTTTCATTTATTTCCATATTTTCATTTCTAAAAAAATATTATTCACAAATATTAATGTTATTATAAAAATGAAATAGTTTTCCAAATACCATACACTCAAAAAAAGGATGAATGCTTAACTGTTGCAGTACAATTATGAGTTAAAAAAGGTATTCCACACGAAAAAAGCACCCTTAAAGCATTGTTCACGGCAATAAAATTAATAAAAGCATGTTTCAATGCACACAGAAGTTTCGAGAGAAAAACGAAACCTAATGTTAAATCATGGCAATTAATATTAAATGGATTATTATATAATAGCCCGTTTTCTCCATAAAACTAACCCAAAAATACAGAGCAATTATTGCCGCTTAACATTTTATTCGACAATTGGAACGATGCGATACCGTTGGGCGATACTGAGCAATTCCTTCATCATTTGTAATCTGTTATTGCACAATCGCACGCATCTTTCAGTCTGATTTGATGACGCCATTTATGTATATGGGCAAATTAATTATAGAATTATGGGTAATTCAAATACGCTTAATTGACGGTAGTTCTACGTGTTTCCTTGCTATATTAACAAGATTTAACTTATATTACGCCTCAATTAATTCGATTCTTAAGTGTACACTTTTGAAATTAGTTCAATTATATAGCCTTGTTAAAGTATTCCTTCCTCCCTTTACTAATAACTGTATCCATATTACTAACTTTTAAAATTGTATAATTATATTATTTAAATAGAAAATTGTTATGTATATCGAATACTTCAGTATAACAAACTTAAATAAACCAAAAATATTTGAAAACCTAAGTAAACCAAAAAACAAACTGTATTCTATAGAATAGTAATATGCAAATCTATATTAACAAGTTTAATATCGAGGTGTTATTGTTGAAATAGTTCGGCTAAAAATAGTATTATAAGATGAATGCTAGAAATGTATTACTTTATCCAAATGTAAAGCTAACCTAGTCATAGATAAAGGCCATCTGACCTTACCTGCATCGAATGGGATGAATAGTCGATATTCTAATTTACATCAAAGTTGTGAAAAATATCATTATCAGTACATAATTATACGAAGTTACAGGTTCACATCTGACACTAATTGCAAAAACTATAGTGTTTCTAGTAATGAGCTAACGACTGATCATAGAAACCCAACACAGCATTATCAACGCAGACACTGTTTTTAAAAGAATAAATCGATTCATGTTCATATATTGTATTGTCTTCAAGCTAATGTTAGGTAAGAATTCATGTACTGTAAATGCATAGTTACAATGGTATATACATTTATAGTAGCAGAGCAGAAAAAGTATTACTAGTGAAGAATGACTTTTATTTGTTTGCATTGATGTTCTACTCTGTAAGTGACCTTAATGAGAGGTTCTATAGCAACAATTTTAATTAGGGTCGCCTAATACCTTCAAGGCTGACTCCCTAAAAATTCCAGTTTTTTGGAGTACACATTGAGTAATAAAAAATCATGGTAATTAAAATGTGAACAGCTTACTCCATCTTGCTTTGGTACTACATCGTTAGCTCAAACTGAAAAAATCTTATCTAGAGTTTATGGTATATTGAGTGTTGTTGATGTAATTACAAACATTCGTTCACCTTAGTAAATATCCATACATATTCCATGTATTTGTACATTACAACATTTAGCTTAAAATCATTTTCAAATAACTTGCGATTTTTACAACAAATACATGGACAAAACTGATTCTGAAATTTGATTATTTCTGATACTACGACGATTCCTTGCATTTATCACTAATTTCTTGACAAATCTTTTCTTTTTTCTATGCAACATACGCAGGTTATAAAGAAAACAATAATTACACCAAAAACATTTTTTAGATAATGTTTAGTTGAGACACTGGAAAGTCATATTTGAAAATTCGTATATTTTTTGTTAGTTTTTGTTTCCACTTTGTATTTGTTTTCAAAAAACGTTTCTATAATATGAAATCATATGATGTCAATTGCTATGAAACATTTAAAAATAAACATTTTAACATATTAATTCTGCTCAAAAGAAGTTTATTAATAATCACCAAATTGTATTTACATAAAATTTATAAAATATTAAAAATTTGAAATACAGTAACTCAATTTTTAAAAATGAATTTACTGCTTTTGCAAATACTCATCAAACATATAAAAGCCCAGCTCTTGCTGTTCGTCGCGCACTATTTTCAATAAATCATTAAAATAACCAGATAATTTACGCACAGTTTCTGCTTGAGAACCCAAGAACTTTTCCTCAAAGTAATGAGCAAATTCCGGATCACGGTGTTTATAATGTTTAGTATGACGCCCATTTTTTTCGGTATTATCGATGTCGTGAATTGCGTGATTAGTAACATTTGCAGCCTTCTCAAACAGTTCTTTTTCTATGTCCAATGCAATACCTAAAGAATGCAGTTCATCTTTGTCAAGACTATAAAATTTCACATCTTTTTTATACTCCTTAGAATTACTAATTATCTCCAGCATATTGATAGAAACACCACGTTTATTAATATGTTTTATTAAATCAATTGCCTCGTCAAAATGCTTATCTGATAGTTCTTTGTATAACTTTTGGAATCCAGAACGATTTTTTTGATATGCACCGAAACGTGTAGCCAAATATAGGTACTCATAGGATTTAAATAAGAGCTCCCCGACATAATCACTCACATGCTTATTATCAAAAATATTATATTTCGCATTGCAGAGCTCAGCAATTTTTCCGTCTATTTCTAAAAAAATAAAGATTTAATAATTTAACAAACAAATACAGCACATTTTTTGTAAGTTTACTAAGAGGTGATGGTTGTAAACAGACTCTTTCCAACAACATGTTGCAATTATTAGACGTCGTCCATGTTTCTTTCTTTTCTGTGGCTGTTTCTTTCTTTTCTGTGGCTGCGTACACAGCAGCACATAGACAGGACACCAAAATGAAGGCAAACAACTTCATTTTTTCAGGTTCAATTTGTGCTGAAACAAAAATGTTGGATAATAATGCTATATACTATTCTAGACATTTATTAATTTTCTTATGACATAAAAAACGATTGCTTCTTTTTGCGTTGTAAAATATCATATATAAATGTTTTGTTCGAAATATATATATGCGCAGCAAATAACTTACAAATTTTTAATTATATTTTTACAGCTTTCACTTATTTTCAGAGTTTGTAAAAGTCGTTGCTTTTAATATATTCAATTTGTACCTTTATACACACTGGTATAGAAGGTATCAATGCTTTTCCTTTATTAAAGACGAAATTTAGACTGTTTTTATTTCAACTTCTGCTCGTCGTTTTTATCGATTGACTGCGATGTGTTTCTTACTTTTGCACTCGTTCTTTGGACTTATTACACCAGCTCTCTCTCATATGCATATAAATTTCTCGAACAAAGCAAAAAACATGGCTGCCTTCTGATAATTATTTAATAATATTGTAACTCCAATGCTATAAAAATGCATAAAAGCTACGTTATATATAACAAAATAACAATATTAATCCCAAATATATGACTCAGCAAATTACGTACTTAAAAATTTTCCAATCATTAAGGGTTACCACCTCCAGTGAATTTTTTTTTATTATTTACGGGCATATCATTATCTCATTCATGTTATCTGTTTCCACATGTATCATAAGCTAGGATTTCTAGCTTAATATCCAGTATAATTGCTCATATAATGATATAAATTATCAAATATTCGTATATTTACTCAATAATTCAGTTAATAATATATAATGGTAATTCTACATATTAAGTATTGTGTATTGCATAATGGTTGATACTATGTATTATTTTTTGATCTTCTCACAATGAGGTAAATTAAGATAAAAACTTAATATCGATAATATAATAGAAGCACCGAAGAACAGTTTGATAAGATTGCTGTTGAAATGTCTCTAATTCCAAAACATGTTGGTTGGTTGCAGTGGCAGGTCATAAGATAACTTCAAATGTACCTCAATTAGCGATTTTTCGCCGTTTTGTTACCACATTCCTCGCAAGAACCCTAGTATAGAAGAGTAGAGACTAAATCCATCCCACCGAATTTAGGTAATTTAACAGGTCTTTCATCCTTACCATTGAGCAGTCTGATAGACTATCACAAAAATATTTTCCTAAGAACCTATATCTTCTGGATGCTAGAGCTGGGCATTCACAGAGAAAATGTATTATTGTTTCTTTCTCCCGCGGGTTTCCACAACTTCTGCAGTGAGAGTTATGGGGAATACGCAGTTTCTCTGCGTGAGTTCCTAACCACCAATGACCAGTAAGAACCGCAATAAGCCTTGCAGTGTTTACGCGATCTTTTTTGATGAGTTCCAGAGATTTATTTTTATTATAAGTGGGCCACGTTAACCTGGAAGTTGCACATGACCTTAGTGCTTTCCATCTGTTATTGGCGAGTTGCAGAAAGTAAAGAAAGGTACTTCTTTTGATGGTCTCCAGGGTAATATAGACTGATACCGCCAGTGACGCATCTAGGGAGGCACCAGAGCGGGCTAAACTATCAGCTTTCTCATTCCCTACGATGTTCCTATGCCCAGGAACCCAGATGAGTGTGATATCGGCCAACCGGTTTAGCTCGTCGATTGCTTCTCTACATTCTTTTACTATTTTTGATTTTGTTATAAAGGATTCAAGAGCTTTAATTGCTGCCTGGCTGTCAATAAAAATAGCAACACTACATCTGTTCTCGATGTGGCTTGCAATTTACCGACAGGCTTCTTTTATTGCTAGGATTTCAGCCTGAAAAACCGTAGCTTCATTAGGTATCCTAAGAGAGATATTTATATTTTTAGATGGTGCGAAGATTCCTGCTCCTGCCCCACCGCTCATTTTCAAGCCATCTGTATATATTGAGATATCGTAATTTGCTTCGAAAACATGTTAGTATTCAACAAATTAATATATGAGTAGTTTTTTATACATATATAAATTTAAAACGACAAGAATATTCAGATTGTTGTTTGATATATTATTTACTGAAACTGTACAATTCAATTTTCGATAGGTTCTTTTTCTTATAAATGCCACTAATATATACATTTCCAAAAACAAAAACTTTGGCAACCATGCTTTGAAAAGAAAGAGATAAGAGCCGACCAGAAAATCGTAGAAAATAATAAAATGTAATCGAGTGTCATCCATGTTGAGCTGCCATTGTTGCTGCAATTGATATTGAATATTTTTAAAGAAAAGTTATGCATGTTTATAGAGTCGTGTGAATAAATTGAAAAAAAAACAAAAAATTATCATTACTTATAAGTTGTTGAGTATTTATGTTGAAATATACTGTAGCAAGATAACAAAGAAGCAATTGCACACAGTTTAAAAGTGTACTCGCGAAATTGAAAACAGACAGTCTGAATTTAAAACGCATTCTATAAGGACAGTTGTGACAAACAGTAACAATTGCGATTGCCTTCTGTACCAGTGCGTATAAAGGCTTTGACAATTTGATAAAAGTAAACATATCGATAAATATTCTATTACAGGCTATAATAATTAATTTATTTCTTTGGAATTTACAGAACTTTAATATTTGTAAATTCTCACGAATTATATTAATACAAATAATTAAATACAATTGATCAAAATGATGAAAATATTACTTGGATTACTTCTTCTTTCTGCGTCTTGCTATGCAGGAAAAAACACATGTAAGTAATATCCCAACATATGTATATAAATTATTTACGCAGTAAATTAAACTAACAGAAAAAAAGGCAACTTGTTCGTTGTTAGGCTATTATTCAATGAAATAAAATATGCAACAAAAAACGACGAATATGTGGGAAATGAAATAAGAGAAGCAAATTAAAATTAGTTTAGAATATTTAATAAATTTGATTCAAACAATGTTTTGAATGTACAATTTCAAAAATAGAAAAAAATTAACTGCTTATAGCTATTGAAATATTTTTAATAATAAATTTGATTTCACATACAGGCTCAGTTGATTCTGTTAATTTTTCGGAGTGGATCGACTTAGAGAAGGCAGAATGTTATACAGATGCTATAAGCCAAACGCGCATGGAAATAGATGCTTCGTATACATACTTATATATTGGGGCACATTTTGCGCAAGATGTGATTAATCGTCCTGGTATTGCTGATTTCTTTTTTAAGGCTGCTAAGGAAGAAAGAGAACATGCTACGAAATTAATAGAATATCTATCTATGCGTGGCCATTTGAATAATGTTGAAGAACTTATCAAGAAAGACTCAGTAAGTCAAGCAGAATTGTTTATATTGTACATTTATACATTTTAATTTATTTCTTTACAGATTTTAGAGAAGGATGACAATTCAGTAAGTTGAGCTGCATTGTTTATATTGTATATTTATAAATTCTAATTTATTTCTGTACAGAGGAGTTTAAAAATTAAAGGTAGGTCTTTGAATGATGCTTTAGAAATTAAACTTGATTCCAAGAGTAGTGCTGCTGATGCTTTTATATACGCTCTAAAATTGGAAGAAAAAGTGACTAAATCCATTCGCGCTTTAATTAAATCCTGTGAAACAAATAAAAACTATTATCATATTGTTGACTGGTTGACCGGCGTTTACCTTGAAGAGCAGTTACATGGCAAACGAGAATTAGCTGGAAAATGGAGTCAACTTATAAAGATGGGTCCTGGAGCATTGGGTGAATTCTTATTTGACAAAACATTGTAGATTATTTAATCGTTGAAAGTGAAAGTTTTGCAAATTTTTCCAAATCTATTTTAAATAAATACGTGTTAAAATCCTTAAGAACATTTAATAAACGCGTTTTTTTGTTAAAGGCGCATATATACATAAAAATATATACTATTAATAAATAAGAAACAAATATTTTAGAAATAAACAATACATTGAATAGGTTGAAAATTTACTTTTGCTGCTACTTGAAATCTTTACAACTAAATTCAAAAAAAAAAATAATTTGTTACTGGATTTCAAAAACTAAGTTTTCGAAACATTTTGTTTAGTAATATTTGATTAATTATTAGTGAAAGCAGTTACTCATTACGAATGTTTTGGATCAATGAATATTTTGCGGATAATGAAATCATGTTTTGTCGAACGAATATAGATGAAGTGACTTAATAAGAATACTTTTAATTGTGTCATTGTTTTCATTACAAATGAAAATTATTAAGGCAATGTGTAAATAGATAAGCAGGCAAAATTAATAAGATTTAATTTCTTCCCTGTAGTTTTTTGTACAATTTTACAATACAATTTGCTGTTTGATAACTACACAAAAATTGGTTTGTTGTTTAGTAAAAAGCAGTAATGTGTTGCAAAGAACACTGTATAAATTAACGGGCGAAAAGGCAGATCGTCATTATTGTTACCTTAATATTTACAAAAGTTGAAATACTAACAAATCAACCAGCAAAATAGCATGACCGAAATTACTTAAAAAAATTTGGTGTTTTTACAAAAGAACAACGCATAAAATGGATGAATATAATTCGAAGGTCTGATTCATAAGATGCGCCAGTTCGGCTTCCCTCAAACACTATGCTGTGTTGTTCACAATTTCCTCTCTGATAGATCCTTTCAAGTTAGAGTCGGTTCCTCTCTTTCCCGCGACTTTCCTATCGCCGCCGGTGTCCCTCAGGGTTCGGTACTTGGCCCCCTCCTCTTCAACCTATTTACTTCTGACATTCCCATTCCTCAGACCCCCGTCAAGCAAATTTGCTTTGCTGACGACTGCCTTATTTTCATGCGGTCGGCTAACCCCTCCCGCATCTCCAATGAGCTTAATGCTCACCTCAAGTCCCTCCTTAAGTATTATACCCATTGGAAGATTAAACTCAACACCGATAAGATTTCAGCAATAGCTCTTTTAGGCCTTAAAAGAGATCACTCCGGTGGTTTTGACTCCTCTTCCATCAAGCTTAAGCTTGATAACACCCCCATTCTGCTTGTGTCCAAGCTTAAATATCTCGGTGTTGTTCTTTCCACTCGTCACAACTTTATACCTCATGTTGACTATGCCATTCGCAATGCGCGGTTCAGGCACATACAACTTAACAATGCCCTTCGCAGGCACAATCAGCTTAACTGTAAAGTTAAGCTTCTCTGTTACAAACAGCTTATTCGTCCTCTCCTAACGTACGCTTTCCCTATTTGGTCTGCAATCTCCTCTGCCCAGATGGAAAGAATCCGTCTTTTCGAGCGCAAGCTCATTCGTGATTGCACCAACTACAAACGCAAGCCTAACGGCAAACACTTCTCAATCTCCGCCCTTTTTAATTCCGCCAAAGTTACTTGCATTGATGAGTACCTTCTCTCACTCGCCCGTAGGTATCTCACCAGGCTCCACAACCTCCCTCCTGATATCCTTGCTCCTACCTCTCTTCCTCCTGACCTCATTCAGGCCTTACGCCATAAACCTCCTCAATTCATCTCTCATTATTTTGATGAGTGGGACTCAGATCCCTCCGTCATCCCTTTATATAACCGTGGCTCTCGTGATCCTGGTCACAGAGTCTACCTTTAGTACACTCGCGCCTTTGCCATAACCCCTCCCCCTTCA